AATGTATATACTGAAAATGACAAAACACTGATGAAAGAAATCCAAGAAGACCTAAATAAATGGACATACTGTGTTCATGAATAGAACAATCATTATAGTAATGATGTCAATTCTCCCTCAAAGAGATCTATAGATTAACACAATATCAACCAAAATCCCAGCAGAAATTTGTATGGATATAGACAAGCTAATATTCAAATTTACATGTAAAGACACAAGCACTAGAATAGTTCATTACATTTTGACAGAGAAAAACAAAGTTAGAGGAATCACACTACTTAATTTTAAAAGTTACTATAAAGCTGAAGTAATAAAGTCAGAGTAGTGTTTATAAAGGGACAGATACAAAAATCAATGGAAACTAAAAAATAGGACAGATATGCACCTACATGAATATGGCCATTTGATATTTTTACAAAGATACACAGGCAATTCAGTGGAGAAAGGGTTGTCTTTTGAACAAATATTGCTAGAACCTTTGAAAATGAACCTTAACCTAAATTTCACACTTTATGTAAAGACTAACTCAAAATAAATAATATATGTAAATGTAAAAACTAAAACGTTAAACTTTTAGGGAAAGAAACCTTAAAACTGACACCAAAGCACAACGCATGCAAGGAAAATAAAATGACAAATTCGACTTCATCAAATTTGAAAACTTTTTTTCTGCCCCAGGCACTGTAAAGTGAATGAAAAGACCCAGTAATGATGTACAGAAAACATTTTCAAATCACTATCTGATAAAGGATTACTATCCGGAAAATGTATTTTTTTTAAACTCTGAAAACTCAATAGTAAGGAAACAACCGCATTAAAAGATGGGCAAAGAACTTAAATGGATGCTTCCTCAAAGAAGTTATGGCAAATAAGGACACAAACAGATGTTAATTATTAGTTATTAGACAAATTATTAACTGTCATACAATGAGATATCACTATACAACTATCTGATCAGCTGAAATAAAGAATAATGACAATACCAAATGCTGTCAACGATAAAATTTTTACAGGGTTCAGGTGAAGACGGCCTGAACTCCTTTATAAACTTTTCCATCTCATGTTTCACCCACTGACGATCCTTGCCTGGATCTGTTACATCATTGGAGATTGTAAAATAGTGATTTTCTACATTTATTTCTGGATTTTTTTTCAACATTTACTAACTGTATTTCTTGCAAAAAGAACTTTCTCTTAACAAACTAGAGCTTTCTGGTTGTTCTGAAAGTTTGTACAGAAAAAGCAGAATAAAATACTGATTTTTTTTTTCTTTTGACTGCTAATTGTCAGAATAAGGAATCGATGTTCTATTTACCTTAAATGGTATTCAATGAGGTTTCATTCTTTGGGAGTAGGGAGATCCCTGTCTATCGGTATCATTAATCAACTCATGAATTTTTATATAGTCAATGTGTTTTCATCAAAGTTACTATTATTGTTTGACGCTCCTGTGTATTTTTTTTTTTTTTTTTGATTTTTAGTAGAGACGGGGTTTCACCGTATTAGCCAGGGTGGTCTCGATCTCCTAACCTTGTGATCCGCCCACCTCAGCCTCCCAAAGTGCTGGGATTACAGGCGTGAGCCACTGCGCCCGGCCTCCTGGGTACTTTTGACATTAGACTTTGATGGTACCCCTGCTCTCTGACACAATATGTCACAATCTCATCTCGTTTTTTTTTTTTTTTTAATCTCAAACTTGGAATTTGCTATTCCCCCCAAGGAGTCCTGGTACCTTTTACGTGGCATAGTATTTACAGACTTTTTGTATGTCATTTTGTATTTTTTATTAGACTATTTGAAAGGAAAAATTGTGCTCTCAATGTTCATTTAAATTATGGTAGTTTTATTATAATGTTACTTAAATATGAACAACAGTAGAGCAATATATATATGAATGCTTTGATTGGGTACACATGGACACAAACATGGAAACAGACACTGAGGACTACTGTAGAGGGGAGAGAAGGAGGGCGGGCAAGTGCTAAAAAACTACCTGTTGGGTACTATGTTCACTACCTGAGTGATGGGATCATTCATACACCAAACTTCAGCATCACGCAATATACCCATGTAACAAGTCTCCACATGTAACCCCTGAATGTAAAATAAAAGTTGAAATTTTAAAATAAAATACAAAAAAATGAATGCTTTGAGCTTATGATGCTTATATAATTATAAAACCACACAATAAACAACAAAATCAATAATTTAACAGCATTAATTTCATGTTATGAATTGTATTGCTTTGCTGAAATTAAGTTGCAGTTCACAACATGAATATGACTCTGCATTGGCATATTGAATGTGGTTTGCCTTATTGTACACTATGGGCTGACTCACTTCCCCCACCACTCTATTCTAACTAGCAAGAAATTGTATTATGTATAGTGAACCTGATAGAACCAGATAATTTAAAAACAAAGTATGATGCCTTCACTTCAAATCGCCTCAAAACAATTAAAATATTACTATCCGGTGTTAATGTGCTGTAAATACAAATACAAATGTGAGTGTTGATAATGTATGACAGTATTTAGTTATAAGGAGGTTTTCTAGATAACCCAGAATATGTTCATGTTAATTTACTTTAGATTATCTCCTTGGGAGTTGCCCAGGTTACAGTGAAAGCAGGGTATGAGTTTTCCTAGATGAGGTTAAGATTGAAGATAATATAGTTGACAACAAATTGTGAGTCCAGAGGCAGAAGGGACAGCAATTTTTAAATGTACTATAGCAAAACACTATTAGTTGGCCAGGATTACCAAGGCTAGTAGAGGGAGGGAAGTGAGCCACCTACATAACAAAGAAGCTACAAATTACAAAGTTTATAGCCCCTAACTAATATTATTGGTCTTGAGACTAACATGAAACTTCAAAAATGCTAATGCATGAATATAAAAACAATACTATTTTCCAAAATAGCATAAACAGCCAGATCTAACAGTTTTTTTTTCCCCATATATTAGTCAGTTTCTTCCTTTAAATAAGTATTGGCCAAATATCTAAAGGACATATGTTGGATGGTCTCCCCATTGTTTCCCAGCTGGGATTCCCATAATTCTCTTTCTGTACTCGTCTGGGTGTTATCCTTGACTTTTAGTGGAAATTGATAGTAATGTTTAAGCAGGGGAGTAAGATAATCAGTTTTGTTTGTTTTGTTTGCAAGTGAATTCAGTGATGATGCAGACTCTACACTGTAAAGATATCAAGTGGATCAGAGAAATAAGTCAGAAGACTATTACTACTGTCCCATTGGTGAGGGCCTCAACTGAAGTGAAAATGGAATGGGGAGAATCAATGTGATATATTTTTCTGATTTTGTCACTTTTGATTTGGGAATTTGGCGAGTAAATGGACACAGAGGAACTAGTTCGCAAGGTGTTGCAATAATCCAGTTAAGAAGGCATGTGAACCTGAACAAGGTAATGATGTTAGGTAAAAAGGGGATTAATTCCATGGATATTAAGGTGGAAGAATTCTCAGGATATTTTCATTGACTAGATGTTTGGAGAAAGAGGGAAGAGCAAGGATGGCCTTCAGGTTTTAAAAATTATCTCCCACAGTGTACCATTCACAAAGGTGATTGATATAAAAACTCCACATCTTTCTCAGCTTTCTTCTTTGAGTGTCCTGTTGAAATTACCACTGGGACAAGACTACAAGTAGTATTTGCCAGGCTATCCAATATAGAAAAATGTCATGTATGAGGACATACTCATAAAAATATCTTTCTTCTTCTAGAATGGAAAATAAAAGCTTAAGTAAATGAAACCTATAGAGGGGGGCAAACTATGGCCCACAAGTCAAATCTGGACTGCTGCCTGTTATTCCATGGCCTATGACTCAGAGTGAGTTTTACATTTTTAATAGTTGAAAAAAATCAAAGAATAATAATTTTTCACTACGCATTAAGATGAAATAAAATTCAAATGTCAGTATTCATAAATAAAGTTCTACTGGAACACAGCCATGCTCACTTATCTCTCCCTGGAACTCAAGAGTAAGGAAAACAAATATTTTACCATCATTACACATGCACATACACACACACACACACACCCCAAATGTGTGCTCACGAGCGTGCTCCTTCTCTTTGCCCACTGTGTATGGGTTCTGCAGAAATTGCATTTCTTGCAGAGAAACTTTGAACCTCACACTGGAAGGTAATTTACCAACTTCTTATCTATCTATCTATCTATCACACTTCACGTTTTAGTAATAATTGAATTTCACCCTTTTCAAGCTTGGAAAGTATATCTCCTCATTCTGCTGAAAGTGTCTATGGCCACTTTGGGGCTACAATGGCAGAGCAGAGTAGTTGTGACAGAGATGCTATAGCCCTCAAAAAATATTTTGCTTACTACTATTTATTTACAAAAATAAAATATTTACTACCTGGCCCTTTATAGAGAAAGTTTGCCGACTCCTGGTCTACTATGAGCCAGGTACTGTGCTAGGACTTTCACATCTTCTATAATTTTATCAAAACTTTTAGTGGTATATCAGGTTATAGAGACCTGAAGAATGTATCTAGAATCTAGAATAATAATGTTTTATTTGTAAATATTCAAATGATTTGCAAAGACAAAGAGTTACTTTCTTTAAGATCCTATCCTTTCCCTGCTTAAACACTGCTATTGATTCCAAATGCTTATAGAATTAAAGCTAAAATCGCAAAACCTAAGACCCTTTGCTTACAAAATCTAGTCCCCACCTACCTTTCATCACATCTCATCACTCTTTTCCCCACCCCTCACCCAATGAATTTCTCACTGTCCTCCCACTTTTTGCAGACAGAAGCTGAAAGTGACACATTCATGAGATATTTAGTGTCCACTTCATTGAGGTCCCTTGTTCACCTTTTCCTTTCTATACCTTTCTTCATTCTCCTTTACTTTCTTCATCGAATTGTCTACCATTACAAAATAGAAAAGAAATGAAGGGAGGGAGGAAGGGAAACTGCAATACACACACACAGGTTTTATTGGGGAGAGGCATACCTCTTATCACTCTGGCCAGCTTAATTTGTCAAATCCTCGAGGGTAGGGCCGATACTTTTTTTTTTTTTTTTAAGTCGTCCAACATCTATTAGAGGTCCAGTCATCGATTCTCCCACTCCCTTTCTTCGTTTCCCTTGGGAAACCTGGAAAACAGAAAATCTTCCCACAGAAACTCCTCAGGGGCGCGCCAAGATCTGGGCTTGCGCACTTGGACTTGGCCCGCGCTCAGCCCCCGCCTCAAGCCGGCGGGGTCTCGCACTAACCTAGCGCGGGCGCCTCGATCTCCCGCGCGCGCGCGTGCGCGAGACCCCCCTTTGGCCCCCTACCCTGCAGCAAGGGTAGCGTGACGTAATGCAACCTCAGCATGTCAGCAGCAATATAAAGGAGAACTAGGCGGCGCGCCTCCCAGACGCAGAGTAGATTGTGATTGGCTCTGGCTGCGGAACCTCGGAAACCCGAATGTGAGGACCTTAAGGGATCCACAGCTGCCGCCCCCCGCAGCCATCCAGAGCGCGGTCACAGTCCGACTGGCGGCACGGAGGCGGCGGCAGCGGCGGCGGCAGCGGCAGCTGCAGCTGCAGCAGCAGGTAAGGAGACTCCTGAGGAGAAACTAGAGGGACGTGGATCCACCGTGTTCAGTGTCTCTTGTCTGAAGGGAGGAGAGGCTCACACCCAGCGTGTAGCGTAGGGCGAAGGGAACAATGGAAGTGGCGTCCAGTCCCTGAGCTTTCCTCCCGCCTCGGGCGGAGTTTTCCTCTTCAGCCGTTGCCGGGGGCTGGAGGAATTGAGGAAAGTAAGGGTTTTCCCCCTTAGCCAACCTCTTCTTTCCCTAGGCCAGAGCCCCAGGGAGCTAGAGCCGTCGTTGAGACCGTCGGTGGTTTAGGGTGACGGGAAAATGGCGGAAAACAAAACGGTGAAGTGAAGAATGCAGCGTCCCCCTGGCATTTTCTCTCAGCTGTCCCTCCACCCGATATTCTTTTCACTGGCGCCCCCGTCGCCTCGCCCCCGCCCCCTGACCGAGCTAATAGTAACCTTTGGAATGCGCGAGGGATGGCGGCGTGTGCGAGGAAGTGGCACCGAATCGGCATTTTAGGGGACTGGGAGCCGTCAGAGCCTGGGAGTTGGGGGGAGGGGGGAGGCGTGTGCGACAACTGTCGCCTACACTAAAACACCACCATTTTGGTTCCCAACCGTCTCCCACGTAGCGGGGCAGAGGAAGCTGGAGGAGGCTGAGGGGCTGGGCAGCACGGCGTGGGTAGCAGCGGTGGCGACCGCTGCACCAAGTGAGAGGAGGGAGGAGGGGAAAGGGTATTCTTGTCTCATCGGTCTCTTCCTTTCTACTGCGAAGGTTCTCTTAGGTTTAAGATCTAGTCAGATGGGTAATACCTCAGAGGGCACGTGTGTGCATTCTGCTCGAAATGATTGAAACTTGGCATGGTCGTGGGAAAAGGAGACTTATGCGGGAAGAGGGCTGCGTCCAAAGCTGCAATACTGCTACTTGCCAGGGCTCCTTTGTCTCCCATCTCTGCAAATACTACTTTCGCATTCTCTTGTTCTGCCGCCTTACCATTTCTCATCTATCCGTCACCCTATTGACATCACTGAGAAGCTAGGTCCTGAATGAGCTATGTTAGAAGAGACAGATTTTCTTTTTGTGATTTCTGCTCCCCATGCATTAATGGAAAGATGTTTACTTGAAACGTACTTGGTGGGTTATCTCCATTCAGTAAGGATGTGAGATACACTCTGGAGAAGACCAAGAAGCCTAGCTATCTCCAATGGTTATTAAATACTTAACACACTGCTGTTTTCATACCTCATTTATTATTGATTTTATTGAAACTTCCTATGTGGGGAAAGATACTCCAGTTTATTTATTTGGTATTCACACAGTGTAATACTTTTATAATAGTTGCACTATGTGTTGTAATTTTTACACTTCATTGAGTGCTAGTGCAGACTTTTCAGTATGGATTTGGCAAGGATAAAGCTTGCCCTTGGTTCTCTTTCACTTTCTAAAATAAGGTGTTGTTTGTGATTTTTAAGATGTGCTTTAGAGAAGATTTTGGTTTAATCAAGTGGTAGCATTCTAAGTATAAAAACATTGCTAATGTAGTCAGTAATTGTTTTTGTTGGAATCCATTTGGTTGCTTTTAAGATTACTACAGATTTGAGCATATGAACCCTTCGCAGCCTCACTATGCAAGTTCAGGTGTAAAGAAAAATATTAAGTTGTGTAAGAAACTTAGTTTAAAATGTTTTAAAGTATCTGATTTTGAATGTATTTTTATAATAGGTAAAGAGAGCGTTTTCCCAAAGAAAATAACATAGCACAGAAGGAAAAATAAAAAGAAATGACTGCAGATTTTACTTTATGTAAGAAAATCTACAATTTCTTCGAGACACTCATATAAAGGTGATTAACCAATTACTTACTGTTTTATCTTATTTAACAGTTTAATAAAATATTAAGTTTTTAAAAACATTTTAAGACATTTGTAGTTGTTCTATTAGTTATGTGGTAAAGGAAGTAATTACTCTAATTAAAATCCGAATAGTACACAGTTTTAAATGTTAAGAACAAATCCCTTTCAGATTTATTTTGTTAACACACAGGTAGTTTATTGTGAACTGTCTTGGCCTCTGGACCTCATTTTGCATAACAGCAAAGCAGAAAACAATGTGGCATTTGAAAAAACATAAAACACAACTAAGAATTTCTAAAAATGTGAAGTTTTGCTCGTACATAAAGTAATTCTGTCTGAATCGTTTGATATATAGAAATGTCACCTTCTGTAGCATATTTGTGTATACACCTGAAATATTGATAGGGGTTACTCTGTGAGACTCTCCTGCCCCTTGAATACCAATTTGGCCATCCCATTTATTTAAGAATATATTAAGTTGTATTACATGGCACCTTTCTAAAACTTTCATTAAGGATGCAGCTTTATCTGTTGTCCAATACGGTACAATTTATTAAGCACTCCTACGTGAAAAGGAGATAGATGCCTTATAAAACGGACAGGTTTTTGTTGATTTACTTAGAATCTTATGTTTGAAGAGAAAATGCACATATATATTTCTAAGAAATATATTGAGTGACAGCATCTGACTTTATGTTCCATACTATCAAATAATCTTAAATATAGGATAAGTCATTTGAAATGAAATAGATTAAGCCCTTGTTTTCAAAACCACCATGAAGCTAGCATAATTTTATTAATCACTAATAAAAAATCAGTTGTGCGATTACAAGTAAATGATATGATAAGTAATTTGCTAAATGTTTATATGTGATTGATCTTATTTTTACCATATTTAGGAAGCAGTCATGTTTCATGAGTCCTCAAAACTGAGACAAGAGAATGTAGTAGAGTGAGGCCAGAAGTCCTTACTGGTTCAAAGAACTCCGGGGAAACTGGGATAGAACATTTTACATTATAAGTAGAACCCTGGGAGCCAGAGGTGAATACAAGTGTATCTGCAGAGCTCCGCTGCAGGGCTGATCTGGGTCTGGAAGAAATGGATGAGAGCCAGTGGATGAAATTCACTAATACTAGACATCTGAGTCCTCTAGTAATGTATAAATATCCTAACTATTGTTTGTTGTCATCTCGTTCTTCTTTTATAACCTATGTTTTAACTGGAACTTTAGCACTGCAGTTTTGTTGTTTTGCTTTCTTCTACCACTTCCCTATGGCTCATCAGCTTGACTGTGCCTTCGTCTCCATTATTTTTTGGTTTACTTCCACTTGGCACTTCTTTTATTTATAGTTGTCACATAAAGCATCTAACCATGGTTTTTCTTTGTTTTGCTTTCTTTTGTAATGAGCTTTCCACACTTGGTTGAAAGGCATATTGTCAATTGCATTTTTTTTTTCTCAAAACAACTAACTTTGGGCTAAACATATTAAAACTATTTTAAAAGCCATTTCTTTTGCAGATATTGGTGAATGAACTTTGCTAAGTATGGATTCAGGTGGTGGAAGTCTTGGATTGCACACGCCAGACTCTAGAATGGCCCATACCATGATTATGCAAGATTTTGGTAAAGCATTTTCTTTGTTGTATTTTTTTTTCTTTTTTAAAAGTAAGGGGATAATAAAAATCAAAAATAAGTTGAGGAAGGGGAGAATTATAATGAAAACTTGTTCTTTTACTAGGAAAATACATTTGTAGAGCTTATTCTCATAAAGCTGTGTATCAATGGGCTACTTAAAATCACTCATAATTTAGGGGAAGGTTGTGTTAGGGACACTTGAAATATAGTGGTAATATGTTACTGGAAATGAAAAACTCAATTTACATAAATAACTGCATGATTATATCACATTCTGTTCTGATAGTATATATCAGCTCTCACGTGAAGGAAATGTTAAACTGGCTTTCTAAAATACATTTTAAGTTGCATTGTTAATAAAGTTGGAAAAAAAAGTGCTTACATCAACTTAAAAAATAAGATGCTTATATAGGGATATGCAAAATCATGTACTAGGTGATTAATTATATTGTGATGCTATTTCCCCAAAAAGTTGTTACCATTAGAATACATTTTCATTTCTTTCTTTTTTTTTTTTTAAAAAAAAAAAAAAAAAAAAAAAGAGGCCGGGCTTGGTGGCTCACGCCTGTAATCCCAGCACTTTGGGAGGCCGAGGCGGGCGGATCACGAGGTCAAGAGATCGAGATCATTCTGGCCAACATGGTGAAACCCCGTCTCTACTAAAAGTACAAATAATTAGCCGAGCGTGCTGGAGCACGCCTGTAGTCCCAGCTACTCAGGAGGCTGAGGCAGGAGGATTGTTTGAGCCCGGGAGGCGGAGGTTGCAGTGAGCTGAGCTGAGATGGTGCCACTGCACTTCAGCCTGGTGACAGAATGAGACTGTCTCAAAAAAAAAAAAAAAAAAAAGAGAAAGAAAAGACTCCTTACTCTTGTGGCCAGGTTTGTTTGTAAGTAGCCTCTTAACAGTAGTCATTTTGATGAAGATGCCAAGACCCCATTGACATTCAACAAACAAACTGAATTTGGGCAGGGATAGTCTGAATTACAGAGGAGATAGAGCTATTTGAAGTATAAAAGGCAGGGATGAGATCAGAAGAGTTGAAGATAAGATTGGAGTGAAAGCAGAAAAG